CCATTTCAATTTTGCTAATTGTAATTTGTCTGTTTAGGTGTTCTATTTCTTCTTTATCTAGCTTTGGGTGATTGTAGAGTTGTAGGATTTGTCCATCTCCTCTAGATTGTTAAACTTGTTTCCATATAACTGTTCATAGTAGTTACTGATTATTCTTTTGATTTCTGCTGTGTCCGTTGTGATTTCTCCTCTTTCATTGATGATCCTGTTTATTTGTGCTTTCTCCCTTTTTTCCTTTGTGAGCCTGGCTAGGGGTTTGTATATTTATTGATTTTTTCAAAGACCAGCTCTTGGTTTCATTGATCTTTTGATTGTTTTTTTAGTTTCATTTCATTTTTTCTGCTTTGGTTTTTTTATTTTTTTCTTCTACTGGTTTTGGGTTTTTTGTTGTTCTTTTTCTAGATCTTTGAGCTTCGAGATTAGGTTGTTTCTTTGAGTTCTTTCTTGTTTCTTGATGTGGCTTCTATTGCTATATATTTTCCTCTTATTATACTGCTTTTGCTGCATCCCATACATTTAGGATATTGGTGTCCTCCTTGTCGTTCAATTCAAAAAATTTTAATTTCTTCTTTCATCTCCTCATTAGTCCAGTGGTCTTCCAGTAGTGTGGTTTTTAATCTCCATGAGGTAGGAAAGTTCCTTGCCTTCTTTTTATGGTTATTTCTAGTTTGATGCCTTCATGGTCAGAAAAGATGGTTGATATGATTTCAATTGGTGTATCTGTTGATGTTTGTCTTGTGCCCCAGTATGTGATCGATCCTGGAGAATGATCCGTGTGCGCTTGAAAAAATGTGTACTCCGTTTTTTTGGGTTTAGTGTTCTATAGATGTCTGTTAAACCAATTGCTCTAGGTCCTTATTTAGAGCTTTGGTTTCTTTACTTATTTTGTCTTGTTGATCTATCCATTGTTGATAGTGGTGTGTTGAAGTCTCCCACTACGTATGTGTTTTCTCTGATGTCTGTTTTCAGAGAGGACAACAGTTGTCTGATATATTTTGGTGCTCCTTCGTTTGGTGAGTATATGTTATGAGTGTTATTTCTTCTGAAGTATTGTCCCCTTGATCATAATGTAGTGACCATTGGGTCTCTTTTTATCTTTTTGAGTTTGAAATCTGTTTTATCTGATATAAGTATAGCTGTTCCTGCTTTCTTTTTTGGTCCATTTGCTTGTAGGATTGTTTTCCATCCTTTAACTTTGAGCCTATTTTTATCTTTTGTAGCTAAAATGTGTTTCCTGGAGACAGCAAAAGGTTGGGTTTTGTTTCTTATCCAGGCTGCAACTCTGTGTCTTTTATTGAAGAGTTTAGTCCATTACATTTAGAGTTAATATTGATATGTTAACATTGTATTTGCCATTGTGTTTGTCTTTCCTTTGATTTTATTTATTTATTCTTTTAATAACTTTTTTTTTTTTTTTTGGCCTTCTTTCATTGTTATTCGTCCCTCTGAGGTTCTGGCTTTAGGACTCCTTGTAGTATTTTTTGGAGTGGTGGTTTAGTTGCAATGAAATTCCGGAGTTTCTGTTTGTCTGGGAAGTCCTTATTCTTTCTTCAAGAGGAAGGAGAGCTTTGCGGGATAGAGTATTCTTGGTTGGCATCTGTTTTCTTGGAGTCTGTTGACTATGTCCCTCCACTCTCTCCTTGCCCGTAGTGTTTCTTCGGAGAAGTCTGATGTCAGCCTGATTGGCTTTCCTTTGAATGTTATCTGTTTCTTCCCTCTTGCCAGCTTCATTATTTTTTCCTTGTCCTGGTTCTTGGAGCTTTACTATTATGTGTCTTGCTGTATTTTTCTTTCGTCGTGGAAGTTTGGTGTTCTTCTTGCTTCTTGTATATCAATTTTCAGCTCCTCCTTCACATTTGGGGTTCTCTTCAATTATTCTTTTGATATTTCTCTGTTCCTACTTCTCTCTCTCTCCTTCTGGTATTCCTATAACTTATATTTCCTTTCCTCATGGAGTCAGATAGTTCCGAAGTCTTTTTATTCTTTTTTTCCTTCGTTCTCTTTCCTTTTCTGTTTTGGTTCTTTTTATTGCTGTGTCTTCAAGAGTACTTATTCGTTCTTCCATTTTCAATCAATTCTGCTTTGATTGCTTTTCCCAGAATTCTTTAGTTCTTCCATTAATTCTTTGATCTCCTGCATTTTTTTACTTCCTCTTTATGGACTCAATTTCATTCTTCTGATCGTTGATTATTTTTCCCTTATCATTGTTTTCCTTTATGACTTCTGTCAGTTTTTTAATCACGGCAATTTTAAATTCTCTTTCTGGAAGGCTCAGAAGTTCTTCCAAGTTACTGTCGTTGCCATCTGGGGGCTGGTTTTACTTTTGTGGTGTGCTTTTCTTCTCTGGAGAGTTGCTAGGTTGCGTGTGGTTCTTCTCCTCCCTACTGTCTGTTTTCTGATTTGCCGTATGCGTTGGGACACTGTGTAGTTGGGACTGGCCGGCATCTTGGGTGGGCTTCTCTGCTCCCTCTGGTTCTCCAGGAGTCATCTGTCAGTTTCTAGCAGTCTTTACTGGAGAAAGGTCCTGTTCTAAAATGCCGATGTGGGGACACACTCCCTGTGGCCTGCGGTCTGCCCGGCGGTGGGTTCCTGCTCCCCCTCTGGGCTTGGACTGCAGGCCAGAGGGGGTCTGGCGTGGGCGAACTCCCCGCTACCTCTGGCTCCTGAGGAAGCCTTCTGCAGGTAGTCTTTACTGAAGAAATGTCCCTATTCTATAATGGTGATGTGGGACACACTCCCTGCGTGTCCGGTCTCAGGCACACTCTTCTGCGCGCTTGGTCTGCCCCGGCTGTGGGTGCTCGCTCTCCCTGTGGGCTCAGACTACTTGTTCGGAAGGGGCCTGGCGTGGGCTAACTCCCCAGCTGGCCACTAGCTCCTTCAGGAGCCGTGCTGGCTTCAAGTCGCTAGGTGGCGCCAGAGAATTCTCCTAGAGCCTTGGGGAGCTGATTTCCACCCGTGGGACCCAGGGGGACAGGGCAGAGCAGGGGATGGTAGGGTACACCTCAACGGTTTGGGTGCTGTGTCTGCCTTGTGCCCCACCGTTGTGGGGAACCCACGCCCCTAATTTCGTGCCCCGGGTCTCAGTTCCAAAGCCCTCAGTTCCAGGACGCGGGCTGTAGCCCAGATCAGTGGCGTGGGAATGGCGCCTTTTGAATCCCGCTCCCCTGCCTGGGCGCCTGGTTCCTGCTCACTCCGGGAGGGCCTCCGCGTGTCTCCCCGCAAGCCTAGGTCGTCTCCCCGCAAGCCTAGGTCGCAGGCGCGGGACCTGGGCAGCTGCGATCCGATCCGCGCAATCCGCGCCGCTTTCCCCGCGCAATCCCGCTCCGCGTCTGTTTTTCCGGCGCGCCGCCTTTCCGCGCAGGCTTACCGGGCGGCTGGGGCTGTGTGCTGGGCTGGTCTCCTCCTGGGGGGCTCTCTCATGGCGCCCGAGCTCACCTCCGCGGCGGATCCTGCAGGGTTCTCCACAGCTCCCGTTCACAGGGTGTGGTGGCTGCAATAGTTCCTTTCCACTCACAGTCCCGCTTGTGCGTCCTTTGTTCTTGTTGGCAGGTTTGGTTTGTTGTTTTCCTCCTCTCTGCGGGTCGGAGAGTGCCGCCTCTGTGGGCGGGGGAGGGGAGCAGGGTTCTGCGCTTCCCTCCCTTCTGGTCCTCTTTTATGGCCACTTTCTTCTTCGAGTAGTTTGCTGGAGTCGTCCGTTTATCTTCCGTGTCCCGGTTCTCACTGGGACCTGCCGCTTTCCTCCCTATTACTTTTTTTAATGGAGATCTTACTCGCAGCGTCTCCTCGCCGCCATGTTGCTCCGCCCCCAATCTCTAGTATTTATTTTTAAAAAGTTATTTAGGGCCTCGCCGGTGGCGCAATGGTTGAGCACTGGGCTGCGAAGCTGCCCGCAGCCTCTGCAGCGCTGGTTCAATCCCCGGCCACCAGCGAGAGCCATGAGAGTCCCACATGGCTCGCAGACCTCTCCTGCCACGCCTGCTGCTCCCGTTAGCAGTGTACTTCATCAGTCTGCCTGTTTTGCTCCCGGCTCTGGCTCTGGTGAATTCTCTCACCCTCCTGCTCTTCTGACTGTACCTAGTGCTTATATAAATAAATAAATCTTTAAAAAAAATTTACTTATATGTATTTTACATCATTCATTTTTGTTGAGTGTTTGCTTTCTCCTGTCAGGTGTAGGCCCCATGTAATTCCCATCACCAATACCCCCGTGCAGCGTCACCATAGTCCCTTGTGCTCTTCCTTCCCCTATTTTGATTATTCTAACTTTTAGGTAAATACATTGATCCCTGGACAAAAGAGAGGCGTAGAGTATAATTAGAGTTATCCAAGCGCTTGAATTCCATCTAATAAAACTTTTCTTTGGAAATTCTGGCTAGTTTAAAGACATACAAATTTATATGGTATCTTGAATTTTGAGTTGAAATGAGGTTTCAGTGAGGTTTTTTAGGTATTTTATGAAAAAATGTTTTCAGACATTGCCAGATGTCCCCCAGGAGTCAGAATCCTTATAGTTTTAGACTTTATTTCCTTTTCTTGTAAAGGCTGTATACTGTTGCTGGCAGATACTGGATGGTGTTGTCTTTGAAGAGTGTTCATTTGTTTTGAGATTCTGATCCTTCTGTGATCTTCTTGTATTTACCTGAGTTGTAGCCTGTGAAATTCCCTCCCAATTTTGGTTGCTGTTTCACATCAAAATGAAATGTGTATAAAACTTTTCAATCATGTAGCATACAGAAACAGGCAGCAATTGAAGGTTGTAGTTTACTGACCCAGGGACTATACTCATTACGAATTATCTGTGACTAATTTTCTGTGACTTGGTGATACTTTGTAAAAGTAACTATTTCAATTACTAAGTAACTATTCGATATTGTAAAGTATGAATAAGATAATACAGATTTTAAAAATACTGTCTCTAGTATTGTTTTATACTTTTTTGGTATGATAATTACTTTTACATTTCTGAACAAAGTTTTTGCTTTTTATATGGTGAATTCAAGTTGAGTCAACAGATACTGGAATTATTTGAAGCATGTCAGCAGCAACTAAGCGATTTAAAGAAGAAAGAACTATGTCGAACACAGCTGCAGAGAGAAATTCAGCTGTTATTTCCACGTAGGTTTCCCTATTTTACATGCTCGTTTTGTATGTGCATTCCTCTTTTAAATGTTTATGCCTTACACTTCTGTTGTTTCTTTAGAAAGCAGACTTTTTTTGGTTGGATCTTCTTTAAATGGATTTGGTACCCGGACCAGTGATGGTGATTTATGCCTAGTTGTTAAAGAGGAACCAGTAAGTAACATTTCTTCCAAGCATGTTTCTCGTGTTAATTCATTTACGATTTTCTCATATTTTGTTTCAGTTACTTTTCTGGATTCAGTTTATAATAATTTAAGTAAAGTCAGGAAGTTCTTTTTCTTTTATGGTCTGTGCACAATAAACATAACAGGAATTCTAGCATTCTTTTTATTTTATTTTTTTCACTTATTAAAGTACTATGTCCTTTTAAGTTTTTAAGCTGTTAAAGTACTATGGCTTTTAGGAACTTTGCCTCTACTTTGAAACGTCATTGGGTTGGCTATGTTACTAGGATACAGAAAAAAAACGGTATGTTTCAGCATTATCTTTTTGATGTATTTCCTTTCCATTTGAATTCTCATTGATTTTATTTTCTGTCATGCTTTTCTCCCCTTGAAAATGCTATTTGGAGTTCATATATTTGGGAAGAGCAAAAGAGATTTTAAAGTAATATTTAAATATAGTTATCTCTGTTTTTTTTTCTAATTTTACTTAGCAAATCAAGTTTTGTTGTTTAGTATTGTTTATTTGAATTTCCTGTTGACTGATACTTTCGAGTATCCTTAATATCACAATAATTGGTGCTCATTAAGCTGACCTAAAGCAGATTTTCCAGTATGCTGAGGTTTTAAAAAAATTACCAAAGATTTAGCTAATTTTAGTTTAATTTTAATGTGCCTTTTTATGTTCCTTCTCTTTAAAATACAAATAAAATCTATGAAATGGAAATATGTATTTTTGTTATTCCTATAATTCCACTAACAAAATTGTCTAGTCACTGTTAAGTCAGTGATTTATTCCAAGAAAGAAACATTTTTCTAGACTTTGGAATCATGTTAAAGGAAAAGTTAAGAAATGAAACCCAAAACCTCAGAAATAATAAACATCATGGTGTAAGTTTTAATTAAAAGTTTTTCTCATGCAATTGAACTATACTCAGGCATGTCCTAATAATCCTTCAGTCTAATTCACATGTAAATATCATGTCATCACAACTTACTCAAAAATACGATACAAGTAAACCTTGTCTTTAAACAACTCATAGTCTAGGTAGGGAAATAAAACATGTTATAGAAAGTTAAAATTCTGTTTATTTTTCTTAGAGAAGATTGATTTTTGTACATTTATACTAAAGGGGAAAATGTCATGGCTGTTTCAATATGTCTTTTAAAATTCTTTTTTAAATTTTAAATCAGGAATTGATTTAGAAATATTGATGTAAAAAAAGAGAGGAAGAAATGCTGGTGTGAAAGATAGCATAAAGGTTGATATTTTCTGTTGTAATTTTGTGTATATTAAAGAATGACTCAAAAACAGATTATTGTGTTTTCTTTTTGTTTGAGGTACTTAAAGAAAATAAAACACTAAGTTTAGGAAAATAATGAAAAAACACTTTATTTTTAACTTTTCAGTGTTTTTTTCAGGTAAACCAGAAGACTGAAGCACGGCATATACTCACCTTAGTCCATAAACACTTCTGTACAAGACTTTGTAAGTCTGACATGCCTCAAGTTCTTATGTCATCTGATAACTCTTTATTTAAATATCTCTCACTTTACTTTTTGGTAAGAATTACTTATTTTCTGGTCAGGATAATATGGATTATTAATAGTTATAATGCAAAATATCTCTGAAAAACCAAAAAAGACTATACAGTCTTATTAATGTGAGCGAGAGAATTTCATCTGTTTTTTAACGACATGCTATTATATGTGTCAGGTGGAAAATACAAAGTCAAGAAGCAAGTTACTGCCCTTGAACAAATCTGGAGTTACATTTTTCATTAATTTTAAAACATTAGAAAATTGCTTATTTGGGGAAAAACTTAAAATTTCTTTTATACATTTTTGTGTTTTCCTAATTTTCTGCAGTGAATGTGTGTATTGTTTTAAACTTAGGAATTTTTTTTTTAAGTTTGATAGAATAAAGATATATATGTGTAGTTCTTAGAGATCATACTAATTTGAATGTATCGCTGCATCATGTATCATGTTGCAAGCATTTCCACAATCTAAAACTGTGTAGATAAGATTTCTGTGGCTGCCATAATAAGATGCCACGTGCTGTACCAGAATTTAGTTGTTATTCTTCTGCTTGCCTAGGTATTTTTCACAGTTGTAATGTTGATGAACTTCTTTAAACATTACTAGATAGCAGACCAGATTTCTGATACACATTTCTTGATATAAAGCCCTCTAAATGGTATTGGAAGTTCCAGCCTTAGAATTCAATAATGTCTTTCTTCCCGCCCCCCCCAAGACAGTATTTTATTAATTGTTATAACTTAGAAATACTGTTTTCTAAAAATGTGCTTTGGAATACTATAAATTTGAGAGAAATTTATAGATATAGATAATTCATTTTATCTTACATCTTTCAGCTGGCTACATTGAGCGACCTCAGCTGATTAGAGCAAAAGTGCCAATTGTGAAGTTCAGAGATAAAGTCAGGTAATTTTTGAATTCTTTTTTTTTTTCAATTGCTTTAGATCATTTTTATTTATTTTTTGTGTAGAAGAAGTGGGGTGTAGGACAGAGGTACAGGGAATGAGAAGATTCACCAGAGACAGTGGGGAAGCTAACAGGCGGATTTATTGAAATACTGCTAAGGGAGGCATTGGGTGCTACAAGAGAGGTCTGCTGAACTGTATGTGGGTTAGCTCCCTTGCTGGGTATTGAACTTAGGCCACTGCTTTGATCGTGATAGCGCTGAGACTTAACTCCTAGCCCTTCAGGGATGCCCTTGTAGATCTTCAGTATCAGTCCTTTGTCAGATGTATGATGTGCAAATATTTTCTCCCATTCAATCTTTTGATTTTTGTTATAGTTCCTTTATTTCATTGAATGAATATATTATTAAGTTGTCCACTTCCCTGTTAAAATAAGCAGTTTGTGCATAAAATTCTTTCCATATTAAGGATTACGTTAGTATTTCTAAAAGTATACTTTGAAGCAAGTGCTATGGATATTTTAAAGCTCTGAATTAATATTTTTGGTAAAATTTTATAAATTAGTTTTCATCTGTTTTTTCTTCTCTTGAGTTATACAGAGGTAGTGCAAACTTTTTTTAGACTTTTAGATACACAGTTAAAGAATGTAACTCTATTACCATATATTTCCAAAGCCAAATATATTTGATATCTGAAGTATTAATACCACTATTCATTTTATCAATGTGCATGAATAATTGAACAGTTATAGAAATTCTTTCCCAAAACAAACAATATGACATGGTAAATTTAAAGTTTTATAATTAAAAGCTATAAAATTTCAAGTTTTTAATTTTCAGCAATATTTTTCATAGAAAACATCATTGTTCTGAAGAAGTTAGACCTAGTAGTATATTCATCCATTACTTATATATATTGTAATGCTCTTTTTGGTTTAGCCTTTCTTACAGATCCCATCATTATTGCCCAATTTTGTAGATTGTGAATTGCATGTATTTTTTTTTTTTCAAAGAAGTATCCCCACCGTCATGTTTTGACTGGTAACAGTTCTTCCCAGATGTCAGTAGCTAAATTTGGAATGATGTTATAATCTAACAACTTTTTCAGAGGAAATATAATGTATAGACAGAACTTACATTCTTTTTGCCTGCACTTTGACTTTCTTTTCCTTCTGTTTTCAAGCAAATACTGCCATAGTTCCGTATTAGCTGAGAGTACATACTTAACTGGGATAATCTGCCCAGAGATGTTTTTGTTCACATAATTTTGTTTGCTTAGAAAGGATTCCAAAATTTTAAAATTTCTTTTGTTAAGGATAATTGGAGCCTTACCAGTACATTACAGATCTTTGAAGAGTAATCCTCTTTTTTATTTTTAATGCACACTAATCATATCAAAATGCATACTGAGATTATATATTGATTTTATTTCTTTAGTGCCTCATTTTAAGATGTTTGGCCTTTGGGCCCATGTTACTTTATATCACTAAGTAAATGTTGATGGATATTAATTTAGTTCTGAGGGAGTTTGTATTGAGCTAAAGTTTTTTTTCTTAATAGTTGTGTGGAGTTTGACTTGAATGTCAACAATATTGTTGGAATAAGAAACACATTCCTTCTCAGAACTTATGCATATCGTAAGTTTTTTATTTCCCAATAATTATCAGCTTTTGTTTTTATTCTTCATTCCTTTTTTAAAATGTTTGTAGTAAATGCTGATATCATTTTATAATGTTATAATAACATATTCATTTACTTAACTTACAATATATTATTATGTTACTCCACTAAATCATATACTACCATAATTATAGTTCAGTGGAATAAATTTTAGTTATTGGTAATTTTTTAAAAAGTAAGATGTTTCAGAAGTAAGATGCATTTTTTGTGGAACTGATGTTTAGTATATAGGGAGGCAATACTTTGTTATGGAGTTGGGAAATGCTATAAACTTTCAAAGAAACTGTAATGTCCTACCCTTTTTTTAAGTTTTAATTTTACTTTCAGTTGAAAATCGAGTTCGTCCATTAGTACTGGTGATTAAGAAGTGGGCAAGTCACCATGAGATAAATGATGCCAGTCGTGGTACTTTAAGCAGCTATAGTCTTGTATTGATGGTTTTGCACTATTTACAAAGTAAGTACTATAAATTTTCCCCATTTTTAAAACAGAAATACAGTTAAACTTCATTGTGGTGTCTTCCCTATCTTCAGATATCATTGTGTTAAAACATTCTAAGGCCCATAAAATTGTATTTCCTGTTTTGTTGCTTTGAAAAGTGGTGTTCCCTGCAAGCATTATAAAGAAGTTTCACTGTGTTTTTATTTTTTCTCAGTTTTCTATATTCACTTTATACTCAAAGAACTTTTACATTCTATTGTGGACTCATTGAGCCTGATAGATGAATGTTCAGCAAGTCTATAAAAATAAGCTCAAGCACTATTTCCTTGATCTTATTTTTCATTTGAGACAGGGATTAAATGATTTTCTTGTTGGTCAAAGCTTTTTTTCCTGTGAGCTGGCATGGAGATTGGGTGAAAGACTCAATGTTAATGTAATAGAAGTCAATATTTACCAAGATGCAGAGTCTGATTTACTCTGAGTTAATCATGTTTCTACAGTTTAAAGAGCAGTGTTGTAATATTTATGTTCATACCCTTTGACTTAGTTATTTCTCTCTTGGAATTTATTCTAATATGGTTTATATATTAAGGCTGTTTTTCATGATTGTTGAAATAACAGAAGACTAGAAATAAGTTTTTAGGAATAGGGGAATGGTTAAATTAATTATGATTATCCTAATATGAAATTTACACAGCGACTAAAAATCTTGTTTTAGTATATTTAATAAGAAAAATTCATGAAACACTAAGTCAAATAAAACATGCCAGTTTTATTTAAAAAATAGTAACTTTTTGTGTATATATTCGTATGTATACAAATATTGAAAGGTATTCCTATGTATACAAATAATCTATTGGGTTATTGATGAAAGGTAGAATTTGTTTATGTGTTACTTGTTTGCAGATATTTTGTAACAGATTAAGTAAGAGTATATTTTTATTTGAAAGATAGAATTTGAGTTAGTGAGAGACTTACAATAGCTTAAATTGGGCTAGAGTTTCATGAACCAATCATGAGGTTAGATAATCTTCCTCTTTGTTGTTAAAAAAAATTCAAGCTAATTATGATGCATGTGTTTTTATTGTTGACACTAGTGTTACTGTTTTTCCCCCTAAAAGTATTTGAAACATGACTTTGGTTGTTTTATGCTCTATGTAGCAATAATAATTTTTTGTCCACTTTTGCAATTCAGTCTAAGACATATTACTTTTGATGCTTTTTTAGTTAGTTCTGTCTTGTGGGTTGCAGTTTAGTTTTTTTAATAATTGAATAGATTTAAAATATTTCTTATAAAATAGAAATAATATGACAAATATGTGTTACTGTTCAGTGTCTTTTCGGTTTTTTAGTTTTAGTTATGATTTAAAAATTTGATTTGACTAAAACATTTAACACAACAAATATATCCCTTCGTCCTTATGATTACATTAGAAATTTTAGGGCCTCCCCGGTGGCGCAGCGGTTGAGCACTGGGTTGCGAAGCTGCCCGCAGCCTCTGCAGCGCAGGTTCCATCCCCGGCTGCTCCCCGGCCACCAGAGGAGGGTCCCACATGGCGTGCAGACCTCTCCTGCCGCCCGCTGCTCCCCTCAGCAGTGTACTTTGGTCCTTCTGCCTGCTCTGCTCCCCGCTCTGGCTCTGGTGAATTCTCTCACCCTCCCGCGCTTCTGACTGTACCCAGTGCATGTATAAATAAATAAAAATAAATCTTTGAAAAAAAAAAAAGAAATTTTAATTTGATTACCGTCTTTAGAAAATTGCATTTTAATGACATATGCCCCAAAGTGGTTTTGCAAGCATGTTGAAAATTTCATCATTAATGTTTTTACCAGTGTAATGAAATCATATCAAAATTTTTGATTTATATTTTGTTTGACATATTAACAATTGACCATGCTTAATGAGGTAGTTTCTAATAGTGGCAATATCATCAACCATCTCTAGGTCTTTGCTAAAGGACTTCAGCTACCCAGCACTATTGTGTAATTCTGTACTTTGGCAACTTGAAGCTATTTCTCTCTAGAAGAAACTAAAGATTGAAAAAATACTTTTCTTGTCAAACAGGAACCAACAGGTGGATTGAGCATTTAAAGCTCTGCCAAAATAAAGTAGATTTTATGATTTGAGTCCAAGTTATTCTTCTTTGGCCTCCATACTCTTGCCTGTAATATGAATAGTTTAATTAGATGACCCTTAAGTTTCATATAACTTCCTAAATGCTTCAGTACCTTTTCTGCCATGAACAAATGTAACAGGTTCTCTATATTTTCAAAGGTTGAAGATTAAAGCATTTTCTAGAATGAATTGCAGTAGTCAGTAATCGAGTATATATATGCTTGAAAAGGTGACGATGAAAGCATTAGTGGAAAACACATTGAGAAAAGATTTTAATGACAAACTAAGATTAAGAGTGAATAATAAAAGCAAAAGTATTGACTGGTTGAAATAATAACATGAATGAATATAATGAAATGTTTACCATGTTACCAGGTGCAGAACTCTCTTATAGGTGTTTTAAAGTTATTCTTAAATTTGTAAAATTAGTCGTTGCTTAGTGTTGTTGATTTGCTTTTCTTCTAGTTGAATTTTTGATGACTCAAGTATGGAAAGTTTATGTGTGTAAATTTGTGGGGGTCTGGCTAGAAATCTCACCTGAACTACAGAGTAAAATCTTATAGATAGCTATACTCAAAGTGTTCTCTGTTGATCAGATATTGCAATAATAAGCTTTTATTTTATTTTGCTTTTGAGGGGGAAATTTAAAGGTTGAAGTCCAAAAATGTGAAGTCAAAATAAATGTTATAACTTTATTCTCCTAGTATGTATGTTGCTTTGGAATAAAATAAACATTTGAGAAACAACTGAAAACTTTGAAGTTACTTTCAGCATAGTGTTAGTAAATAACTGGCACAATACACTAGTTGCTTTTCTATTGACTATTGTTTTTCAACCTTTAAAGTTGTAGAGGAAAGACTTACTGAATGATACCTCAGACCTTAATGCCTTTCAAATTGATTAGGCCTAGGCACTCTTTGTTGCAAGATGTAGGCCTGGGTCTTAGAGTATTTGTTTCAGTATTTGTTTTCCTTTCGTGATTATAGAATGAGATAAATTTTTTTCTACTTCTCTATAACCTTCATCCTTTTAAAATTATTTTAATGTATTGGGAGATTTCAGTGGGACGAAATTCAAATTTTTAATTAAATTAATTTTTAGTAAGGTTCTCTAATTTATGTATTTGCAAAAATTGCATGAAAATCATTACATGTTAACGTAAATGTAGAGATATTTAGAATAAAAGTTGACTGGGGCTTGAGTTTATTTGTAGGTATATATTGTAGAATTTTGAGCATTTGAATGTCTGGGAAAAAATATGTATCCATATTTCCTAAGACTGATTCTGGTAAGTTTGAATAAGTTTTTTCTCTAATAGTCTCAGTCATACATTGTGAATGTTTCAGACTGTCATGGACCTTTGTTTCAACTCTTAATTTGGAAATGAAGCATGATACAGAAAAGAAATTTAAATAAAGGATTCTATGCTATGTTATCTGCTAGAAATACAGATATTTATAATTATAGTTGGAGACCATCCGTGTGAATTATCTTAATAGTTGGTTATAGGTACATTAATGTTTTCCAGAGTCATTTAGACGTTTTTGCTAAATAGCAAATTAAAAGTGAATTAAAGATTCCTTTCTTCTTGAGTTATAATTGACATTAATATCTTGTATACAAAGTGAATTAAAGTTTCTGTTATTGAGTTCATTTAGCTACATATATTTTTTCAATTCTTAAATAGTTTGTCATATGGCACTATGTTTGCTTTTCAATCTTAAAGTATTGTGTCTATCTTATACCACACTTACAACATTATATTTAGTTGTTTCTTATTGTGAGTGTTAGGCCCTTTGTCTTTCAGTGTCACTCCATTTACATTGTAATGGTGTAAAATTTCTATTAATGCATTTAATGAGGTTGATTTGGGTAAGCTGTTGAAGGGTGAAGAATGACAATTTAAAAATGTAACAGGAAGGTAATGATTCCTTTGTATGAAATTGTATTTATTTTATAACAGATTGGTATAAATCTTCTGATTTAGATTTCTAAACTTTACGGAGGCCTTTTAAAAAATTGATTAATGAAGTTGAATATTTTTCTTTTTTTCCCCCAATAGATCAGTTTTCTGAATGATCTTAATCTTGGTATTATTGTATTAGAAGAAAGTGACAGAACTACTGTTTTTTCATAAAGTATCATGGAACTGTACTTTTGAAATTAATTTTTTAATTGCTACATCCAGCTTAAAAATGTTAATTCGGTATCTGTAGAACAATCCTTGTCTTGCTTAGTGTGTGTTTGTGTGTGTGTGAGAGAGAGAGAAAGAGAGAGAGATCGGCTGGACCGAATGATGTGTCCATTTATTGACAGCTTATTAATCTAAAACCATGAAAGGAACATTGGTTTACATAGAAATATGTAGTTTGTTATCAAATCTTAAGTCAATAATTTAGATATATTTTGAATTTAAATTTTTAGGCATCTGAATTAATTTCACAAAATAAATGAAAACTGTTGAAATTTTAGCTTAAACCCTTATGATATCATACCTGGAGTATAGCTGACAAGTAATTGCTTTGTAAAATGAATTATGTGAATCACAGAAGCTTTAAACTTTTTCTTTTTATAGCCCTACCTGAACCCATCCTTCCATCCATCCAAAAAATTTACCCAGTAAGTGTTTCTTATAAATTATTTAATAAATATTTTGACAAGTATATGTGGAACTATTTTATATAGTATTAATGTGAATATAAAAGTAGCAGTAATTACCTTCTAATTATATGATAGCATTCTCTATGTAGGCTCAGGCCTTGGCCCCTAGAATATTAAAAATGTTTCATACACTTTTCAAAAGACTATGATAATTTTTTGGTTATTGGCATATAACCTGATCATTTATGTTAATGGTGGAATTTTTTGCATGATGCTCATGATTATCAGTAATGGAAATTAAATATACTTATTTGGTTAAGGCCCATTTAGACTTTTCCAGTCTTCATGTTATTTTAAAATATAGTTTCATTACATTTCTTTAGTTAGTGACACAGAAGTTTTTCAGCCCCAATGTATGTATACTTGGAAAGGGGAAAAAGTTAAGTTGAACAATTGGATTTTTTTTATCTTTTCTTCAATTTTACAAATAATACACCAAAAGAAGTAAATTAGTAGACTATCCTTTAGTGTGTATAATATTGAGAAATCTGCTGAAATTAATTGGAAACATTTAAGAAAAGAAGTGTGCCTACTAGACAAAGTTTAGTTTGAGTTTAGAGGAACCTGGGTAGCATACACAGTCATAATCTATATGAATAATTTTTTTTTTCCAGTTTTTTGTGTTCTTTTTTCTAGAACTCTGTTTCCTTGTTTTATGGGTCCTACCATTTCTGTTTTCTTCCATCCTTCTTGTCATCCTTGTTCCTGGATTTGTTTTATCTATTTATTTCTTGTTTAGAATGTTTAACCTACCTTTTGAAACCATATAATTTGTATCTGTTTCATAAACCTGTAAGAATTGTTTTCTAAACTTACTAAATGGTCTTATTACAGAGGAAAATGTAACATCCAACTTGAGTGATTGATTTCAAAGAACACATATTTTTATATATCACACAAGATAGAATAAATATGCTTGACATGGAGCTTAAATTAAGTATAATTTAATCTTTGATAAGAACTGATGTTCTTAGTTTCGATCATCAATGGTTATTAATGCACACATAAGAGGTGCTGGATGCTAAGACATTCACTGTAATAGAGTTTTGTTGTAGTGAGGACTTTCCAGTTTGTCTACAAGAAGACAAAATTTTAAACAAGAACCTTTTGGAATATGTATATCTCTAAAAATTAATTTCTACTATTATGAAAAAATATTATAATAACTTTCCAATGTAGCCAGGGATAAATATGCATGCTTTTTTAAACATAAGAAATGAATGCATCAGAAAGAATAGAAATAAAAATAACTTGAACTTTGGGGCCTTTTGTTGAATGTTTTTCTTAACTCTATAAGGTATTTATTCCTTACCTCATATTGAAAGGTCAAATATAATGTCTGGGTGTTTACTATTTCATTTTATTGTCACAACTTTATTTTTGTTTAAGACCTAGATTTTGGTGTAGAAAGACTGCATATATTTTTTCAGCATACAAAGGAAGGATCTACTAGTTAAAAGTAGACTTTGAAGAATATATTGTTGTATATTGCTTCTGCAGAAATAGCACTTAAAACTCTGCTATATGATAGTTTTTACATCTGTATTTTCAGTTTTCTAGCTTTTTAGCTTGTCCTCATGGCAGAGTCCTGACTTTTTGGCATGTCCTATACTCTACACTCACCACCCTTGTTTTGCTAATATTATTTCTGTACCTGCAGTGGGGTAATAGGCTAATATTAGCTCATCTTCAAGGCCTAAAAATTACTGATAGCAAGCCCTGTTAAAATTAAGGATCTCGTAATTTGCTTTCTGATGTGGTTACATTGTCATAAATATTTAAACCACATTTTCTTTACTATGAGATGACATGTGGAGAAGAACTTTCTAACCCCTCTGAATTGGGTTCTTTTGTTTTATATGAAACTTGTAAGCTGATCACCAGAGGGCTTCTTTTCATTGAGCCATTTGATAGCACAAACAAATCAGCTTGTCTCTTATGACTAATAATGACTGTCATTTATTTAGTTTCTATTTTAGGTCAACGACTTTAATTTTATGCATTTTCTTTAATTCTAAACAAACAAGCATGAAAGGTATTATCCTTCTTTGACAGATGAAGAAATTAAGTCTAGGTTACATTTTTCTGTATACAAATTAGGATTCAGAAACTTTTCCCATTACTTTCTGCCACTTGACAGAAAGACAAAATAATAGAGGTATTCACTAACATTTCATCTCATCAAATTATGTTGTTTACTACATTTTTATTTGTATATATCTGATTGTTCCTATACAGATAAATCTTTTTAAGAAAAGCAGCAGATGTGACAAAATTTCTGCTTGTATAAATTTGAGACTGACTTGAAATTTTATAGTAACAAAAAAAACCTGTGTTACTTTGCAGGGAAACAAGTTTCTTTTAAGTTTTGAGCTTTTCTAGTTAAAATAGAATTTAAAAAGTGAGAATTTGAGAATGGAATAAAATATGTTCAATATATAGTATGCTCTTTTTAGTCTTTTTCGTATTTTCTTTAAAAAAATTGTTGTCTTTTAACTCTTAATATTGAACTATGAAAGAAAAGAAAGACTATAAACATCCACATTCAAAAGCTTTATTACAGTATAGCATTGATTATTACTACTTAGTTCTCACTAACTTAAGACAACATGTGATAGAAGGCAGAATATTTACTATGAGTTAAAAAGATGAAAAGTTGAGAATGTTAAGTATGTAAACTCAGACTAAGTTCATGAAGGGTTTTTTTTAATAACAATATGCAAGCATAGTATTGGATTTATTGTAAGATAGATTTACCAGGACAATTTATATTTGTTTCCTTCTCTAATGATATCGTCATATAATAGGAAGTCATGTTAACAAAACAGAGACTTAAAAACCCCTCTTTTTGTAGTAATGAACTAAAGAATTCTGAGAATATAGAGTTCTTCTGTATAGTATATATGCAAAATACTCAATTTTGCATATATACACATACATATAGCAATTTTTTCAGTTTTAAATAAGTGTACATATTAAAATTTTAACTTAAAGCACATATTATGAAGGATTTATTATTAAAAAGTTTTTTTAGTAAACAAATTAAAAAATTTTGTTAATTTTTAAATGACAAAATTTTTTAAAGTTGACAAAACAAATTTAAAAAATCATTATTAGTTTAAAATAATAGTTGCATTATTGTATAAATGTACAGCTATAATGATGCCTGGCATGTACTAAATAAATAGATAAAACTGTTGCTGTTATGCTTTACATATATATTTAATCCTTTTAACAACCCTATGAGTAATATTATTTTCTGCATAGATGAAGAAGCTGAACCTTTGGAAAGCTAGGTAACTTGGGTAAGTTCATATAGCTAATAGAAGAGCAAGGTTTCAAATCTAGTATGACTCCAAAGTTCATGCTCTTACCTATTTCATTATAGAACTAATACTTCATGTCAAATACTTATGTTGACTTCAAAACTTTAAAAATATCACTAAAATTGGTTATAATTTAAAGGAAATATAATCATCTTTATAGCATACATCACCAGATTATTGGTGATCTGTTAGACGATTAAGAAAGCATATGCAGGTCAGAGAAATGAAATCTGGGAAAAAATGTCTTTGCCAGTTTGATAGGCAATTCTATGGGCAAAGCAATGAGACTTTTAAGATGGTTTTCAAGGAACTGCCTATTTACATTTTTCTTAACTTGGCATTGATTGAAGGAAAATGAAAGATATGTATCCTAAAAAGTACTAGCATTTAAACATCATTTGAAAAATATTTTTGGGAGTTAACACATGTTCTGTTATTAGAAGTTACAAATAAGAAAACCTTGAAATGTTAAATAAAGATATCTTCCTTACATTAAAAACAAACCACACAGCAGTAAGTATTGATAATCCCCCCCCCCAAATGCTTTAAGAGACAGATATTAGCTTATTAGTTTAATTGTTTTTTCATGGATCTAGGTTGTGATTACAAGGCTTCTTCCCCCCTCCCTCCCCTTTTAGTTTTTGGATTGCTATTTATGTGCTTTCTTACATGTTAGTAGTTTAAGGTCTGTCCACCCCCTTTCTATCTGAAGGATATGTTTTGTTCTTAAACAAATAAATGCAATGGGAGACTTCCCCTAGAAGATAAATTCTTTGAAGAAATTTTTCTTATAGGAGAATATTTTTCTGTAATGTGAATGATTACCACAGATGAACATCAAAGATTAAATAATTCTTATCTGCTTGAAGCTTCTTATAGTTGTACCCTAATATTTTTTGTTTGAATTGCTTCTTATGTCTCCTTCATTATATATGGCATGACCCTTTTTGTATATGACCATGAAAAAGAACAGTGGAGCTAAGAAAGTTGGCCAAATTGTTGATTCAAGGTTATTTAGCATTTTAGTGGAACAGGTCTCACAAGTCTTCAGATTTAGGGTCACAGTTGCTAATCTTTTTCTTTATTGAACAAAATAAATATTTCAAAGGAGGTTCAGTTTTTAAACTTTAAATAAGAACTGATGTTGGTTTTAGCATCAATTCATAAATTGAATGCTTATTATGCCACGTGCTAAAAATCAAGGTTAGTGAGAGGTTTTCAGAGCAGAAGCTATTAAATAGTGACCCACTTTTTTTTTTCTTGTCATTTGAACTTAAATCTTCTTGTTTAATTTGCCAGAAAATATTATTTAAAACATCCAATTTTAAATAATGTTACTCTAACTCCAATTTTACACTTAACACATAAAGGACAGAGGATATTAAAGGCAATATACTTGCTCTTCCTTCTGCTTTTACTCTTTATTATAAATTGAGGCATCTCTCTCTCCCTCCACCTCCAGTCTTACAGGAAGTTAAGATTTCTACTTGAGGCTTAAATGTAATGCTAAGTCTGTTAGAAATTTAAGGGAGAATCTCAAGTTAAGGAGTGCCAGCTTTATGGATTGTGGTTGGAGTAGAATTTTCCTTCTGAGAAAAAGGTAATTATTTCTTGGAATTTAAAAATTATTAATGGTTTTGAAGGGAGTAGGAGAGGGAATATTTCTTATTTTCTTCCTCTTTTGTATTTACTGATGATCTTTGACATCTTCCGTTAAATAAATGCCTATTTCTTAGTTATTTGGGAAGACTCTTTTTCAGTGTTGGGTTTAGACATTACTAATTGAATTACTATCTGTAAACCCAGGGAACCTTTTGTGTAGTTGATATTTTGCTTCCTTAACCAATCACCTTTTAAAAAAAAACTATTTCTACTCTTATGGCAAAAGGGATATAGAAAACCCTTCTTGAGGACACTGCAAACTACCATAGAAAGGTTGTTTACTAACATATGGATATATATTACTTGAGAATCTGTAGTTACATTTCGTATATTTCAGAACTAGAATTTGTTCCTAATATAGAAAAGATCAGATATGAAAATGAATGGCATATAGGCAAAATTGTTGATAGGTTGCTAGTCAAAAAAAATACTAATACCCATTAATATTCTTTCAAATAAATATCTTTCTTTGGGCCTGAATTGCAAGCAAATGCTGTTTTATGAATATTGTGGTAAAAATTTACTAAATATTGGTATGCTTCCTATCTTCTTTTCAATGCCCTCTTTGTCTAAGTTCAATCCATGTTGAATGTCTATCTACTCTTCCATCTGAGATACAAAATAGAAAAATAAAATGAAAATTATAAAATCTTAAAATTAGTATACTATTCATGTATTAACATTAGTTTTATGACCTTTGAGAAAAAAATTAATTTTTACCTGTGTTTGATAAAGTGCAAATGCTCCTTGGAAAAAAAAATTAAGAACTAAATACATTTATAAAGAAATTTATATTATTAGATAAAATCTTGGTCTGTACAGAAAGGTTTTTTTTTGTTTTGTTTTTTTTTAATGAGTTAGAAAATTTTTTTGCTACCTTGATATATCCATTTGGATAATAGAGTGCTCCATACACCTTAACCAAGGATTAGAGTATCATAGTTTTTCAGGTACTTTTTTAACTTTAGTGGAAGAAAATCTTCAAATTTCCAACTTAAAAATATTCTTTGTTCTGCAAAGAGGATTAGGTCAGTATTTATAAAGTTTTTTAGTGTATGTTTTAGACGGCTTTACATTCCCCTCCTCTTTTTTTTTTCGACAGGAATCTTTTAGTCCCGCTGTGCAGCTGCACCTTGTACATCAAACCCCATGTAATGTTCCTCCTTACCTCTCAAAAAATGAATCAAATCTTGGAGACCTCTTACTGGGCTTTCTGAAATATTATGCTACAGAATTTGAGTAAGTGAACCTTCAAATTGTGTTTATTCTTTTATATGTAAGTGAATGCTACAAATTCACTGAGAAGCTGTGTCAATTTTAATGCTGTAAACTTGTCCAGAAAATACATAGTTTATAAAATTTAGTCTCTAATGATTATTAACAATAAAATAGATTTCATATTCCTAGCTAATAAAAAATTATAGTTCCATTAACCTGGTGATCTTTTTGTATGTTTAGCTGCCTCTTTCCTCAGTAGGGCCTAAATAAATGTTTGTGTTAGTCCTGTATAGGTTCTGTGTAGTTTGGAACATCTATTTTCTAGGAACTTAAAATTTGTAGTAAAAAACACAGCTAAGAAACTTAGGGGAAAATCTCCTTAATTTTTTATATTTGAATATATGTGTGTTAGTATGATATACTATAATCAAAACCTACTCCTTTTTTCTTTCTGAGGGTGATGTGTAAACATTAAGTGAATAATTAGATGGGGCATGACTGGAAGTTATGGATTCTTAGTCTAGATAAGTGGAGTTAGGGGTTATTTGTAGCTCTTTTGATTAAATTTGTAAAAACATGAAGGAGGAAGAAAGAAAGGGGACTCAGGAGTTGTCCAAAGTTATAAGAGAAGGGTATGGTGATCATAGGATAACACTTTGAAGAGTTTTGTAGAACAGAATAATAACAGTAGTAATAAATTGCTATTACTAGGTGGGAAAAACTATTCTAAGCAAATTATATGTATTCTCTTATTCATTTTCCATAATAACCATAAGAGAGAGTGTTAAGATGTGCCCATTTTAGCAGTGAGGGATATAGAGAGGTGAAGAAACTTGCATCAAGATAACACAGTTAGCTAGGGGAGTATTTCAGATAGTTTTGACAAGGAAATTTACACTCTTATTATGATACTATACTGCAGTGTTGATATTGTCTTATTTGCTATGATGAAGTAGCTCTAAAGAAACCGGACTTGTATAAGATGTTTTGAAACATGGGGCATAAAGAGAAAGTGTTATTTATATTCCTCAACATAAAACTTGTATCATAGTCTTTGTGCCTGTTTTGTTCACAGTTGCATCACCAGTACCTCGCCCAGTACCTGATACTTTAAAATACTGTAGATAACTAAAGCACAAACTGAAAGTATGGACGTGATTCAAAGATCCTTAAGTAACTCAAACATTACTGAATTAGGTTAAGAAAAGGGAGTAGAAAAAAAGGTGTTGGAAGAAAGTAGATTAGTAAGAATGAATTATAATAACAGGTTAAAAATGAGCATGTCCAAGCAAGAAAGATATTCATTTATATGAATATGAGGAAAAATTTTAAGACTAAATGAAACATGAATATAAGAGACAAAGAGATTATTCTAGAGTTAGGATTTTTAAAATGTCACAATAGCAAAAGCTAATGATTGGTGTTTACTGAGAGTTCTGCAGTATTTTGAGTAATTCCCATTATTATTTTTTTAAAGATTTATTTTATTTATGCATACAAGAGCTGAGGTATAGGCCAGAGGTACAAGGGGGTGGTTGTAGGGGTGAAAGGATTCACCAGAGACAGAGTGGGGAACAGAACAGGCGGACTGACTGAAATACACTGCTGAGGGGAGCAGTGGGTGAGCTGCGCCATGTGGGTTAGCTCCCTGGCCTGTGATAGAACTTGTGCTTCAGTGGCTGCCGATAGCTTCATAATGCTGAGACTTAACCCCTTTCGCCACCAGGAAGATCCAATTCTCATTATTATCCCATTTAATCCTCACAGTAACCCCCTGTCAAGCTTAGGGAATTTGTGTATTTGAAACTTGCCCATGGCGATTCAGTTATAGAGTGAGAGAACTAAAATTAAAATTTAGTATGACTCCAATATCACATTCTTGTTAGACTATATTGGCATCTTCCTGTTGTGAAGTATTAATTAGGGATAGTTTGTAGACAGGGAAAAGGATTCTTAGAAAAATTACATTATTGCCACATGTCATTTAGGATTAGAACATCTTAGATACCTATACCTTGAAAATCACCTTTGTTTTATTTCACGGAAAAAGATGATAGCTATGCAAGTTTGAGTATTGATTCACTGTTAACAGAAACTTGGTTGCTGTGCCAATTGTAAACTGGCTAGGGTGCTGGTGCTTGGAAAGAAGTTTTGAACTTTTAGCTGCATTTGTTATCACTACTAATACATGATGTAGATGACATTTCACCTCTTCTTTGATCATATAGTGCATTTGTCAAGGACATTGTTTCACGCTACATATTTTCAGAATTTTGACTGTAGGGAACACAGCCAAAAACATAGTTAATGGAGTTAAGTAGGTGCTGTACAAAATAATTATGGCAGCTGTTAGAAATGGTTGTGAGGATTTCATCTGAACTTTGAGACACTCAATCTAAAAATCTTCTTTGCTTGAAAAAGAAAAGTGCTTATTAAGGGTTACTTGTGGTATGAGTGTTGCAGAAGTTTTAAATGGCCATTTAAAGATTTGTAAGACCTTGGGTCCTCCCCAGTGGTGCAGCTGGTTGAGCACTGCGCTGTGAAGCTGTCTGCAGCCTCTGCAGCGCGGGTTTGATTCCCTACTGACCAGGGAGAAACCTACATAGCGTGGCAGACCTCTCCTGCCTTGCCCACTACTCCCCTCAGCATTGTCTTCGGTCTGTCTGCCTGTTCTGCTCCCCGCTCAGACAAGTTTCAGTATGCTATGAGAAAATGAAAATAGGCCTTGCTATTGATAAAATAAAAATAAAAGAAAAATCATGAAAATAGTTAAAATTGTGTTTTTTTTTTTTTCTTACAGCTGGAATAGTCAAATGATTTCAGTTCGTGAAGCCAAAGCCATTCCCAGGCCTGATGGTATTGAATGGAGAAATAAATACATCTGTGTAGAAGGTAGCTTTCTCTAACTATTCTCTAGCCTTACAGTTACCATCATGGTACTGAGAGAATTACTTGAATAATTTCAGCTGCTTCAATTAGAAGTAATACATTTATGTTCTAAAGTGATTTACAAGTTTTTTTAGCTATAAAATTTTAATTTTAAGATCATTTAAAATTCTTTAGTCTTGAGAAATAATAAACATAAATGTAGGCATTTAGTCTTTCCAGCTTCGTAGGATTTGAGCAGTCTCTCTCATGCTTGTAGTTGATTAATACTTAATTTTACAGGTGGAAGAAAATGTAATTTTCATGTGGTAATTTTATGTTTAAATAAAACGAGCCTTTTATACTTAAAATATTGATACCAGTGCAAGCTAAATTTTTATATATAGAAATTGGTTTTAATTTAAAAGTCAGATTCTCAAACTTTTTTTTTTTTCTGTAAAATTAATTTACATGTGGTTGAATATTTCTTTGAGTTGCTGGGAAACTGACTTCAAGAGGCGAAATTGTTCTCGCTGGTATCAAGTCGATGACTTTTGTAAACCTTGAGATAAAAGAGAATGAAGGGTTGAGATTTTGCAGTTGTAGGAAAATACCAAATTTTAGAATATTTTTATCATGTGTTATATACACATCTTAAGAATTTGTTAATATGTAACTTTAGTGTTTCATTCGCTAAATTGCACTGTGGGTGTTTATTATTTTAGTGACTTGTATTCTTTTGAATATTAAACACTGGCTTTTGTAAAGTACCATGCGTGATATAATCCAATAGTTTGGCATATGGTGTTATTCTATAAAAAAGTGGCAAAACATTCCTTTTAAAAATTGCTTAAGTTGGGCCTCCCCAGTGGCGCAGTGGTTGAGCGCTGGGTTGCGAAGCTGCCCGCAGCCTCTGCAGCGCCGGTTCAATCCCCGGCTGCTCCCCAGCCACAGGAGGAGGGTCCCACATGGCACTCTGACCTCTCCTGCCGCCCGCTGCTCCCTTCAGCAGTGTGCTTCGGTCATTCTGCCTGCTCTGCTCCCCGCTCTGGCTCTGGTGAATTCTCTCACCCTCCCGTGCTTCTGACTGTACCCAGTGCTTGTATAAATAAATAAAAATAAATCTTAAAAAAAAAAAATTTGCTTAAGTGGAAAAAAAAAAAGAAAGAAAGTTTTTCTTTTTTAAATTATGGCCCTGCTTTAATTTCTTGATCAGATTTTCTATTTTTTTCCAGGTTGTTACCCTGTTAACCTTTCCTTTCTCTGGCTACTTAATTTTTTTTCTCTCTAGTCCCTCTCTTAATGGGCACTTAAGGTTTTCTATTCCTTAAAAATTACTTTTGATTTGATCCCAGTGGCTCTTCTGAGTACGTTTTCCACTGCCAAAATTCTCAAACTCTGATTATTTTTTACTTATCAATACATCAGATGAACTCTAGAAACATTAGTGAATTAGTGTGTTTTGAAAATAAGAAGCATTATTTCAGCTATCCCAACTCATTGCTAATGCCTTCAGTTACCCTCCTTTTCACACTTCATTTTCAGTTTCCTTGTCCTCATTTCTTTTTAACTGACACTCTATATGACTCTCTAGATGACTTCTTTCTTATTTTGTGGAAAAAAGGTAACTGAGGGGAAAGGTAGATATTTTGGAGTCACAAATAAAAATACTTTGTTTTCGTCTGTGCTTCTCTGCTTGTTATTTTTCTCTACTTTCACTGACAAATTTCTTATTCAGGTTACTTGTTCTTACTGTTTCTTTTTCTAAAACCATTCATTTGTGCTATAACGGCATTATCTTCTATCCGCACCAGTATTAAACCTCTGCTTTCAATGGTATTAACTAATCAGTGGATAAATCAGTATTTTTTAAAATTAAAATGAAATTTAAAATTTCCTTTCTATGATATTTGACATTGACCACTCTTACTGATATAATGCTTTGTTCTTTTTGATAACAGTTTTATCTTATTTTTATTCCCTTAAGAGTAAGTTCTTGATCTCTGTACTTCTTCAAAATTTTGCCCACTTTTAAAATTTAGATTAAACATGCTGATGCTGATGGTTCCTATCTAGTTATCCTCTCACTTGAATTTTATCTACTTTTATTAGATAGCTCATAGCTATATGAAACTCTTCTATATGCATCAATCTAATAAATAATAGGCTGAACCATATGACATTGCTATTTTGTAGGGCAGAAACGGTTCAATATTGGCACTGTCATTTAAGTTCAACTAAATAACAACTGAAGTTTTCACTTTTTAATAGTTAATGCATGCATTTGTTGTTGCAGAACCTTTTGATGGAACAAATACAGCCAGAGCTGTGCATGAAAAGCAGAAATTTGACATGATCAAGGATCAATTTTTAAAGGTAAAACAATACATCAGATTAACTCTAGAAATATTAGTGAACTAGTGTGTTTTGAAAATGAGAAAAATTATATGTACTATCCCAGAATAGCCCTAGTTCCTGTGTTGTGAAGCCATTGGTATGGCATAGCAGGAAATTTACTACTTCAATTTAGATATACTTCTGCCTATTTTAATTCACATGATCTTACTTTTATGAAAATAAAATTTTTTGAGTTTATTAAAGACCCACAGTGAGTGAATAAAATAATGGACTCCCTTTCCTCCATAAAATATTGAGGAATTTATTATAGCCTAAGAAAATCGATAACTTATTCCATGTATTTTTTTTTCTGTATATGCCACTGTAGCAAGGAACTGGAGCACTACTTTATCTTTGTTTATACTCTGAAAAGTTAAAAAAGTATGTGTGTATGTTTGCATACACACAGTTAATGTATATAAACTAAAGTCATATGCACAAATATATGTATATATAATGTAATTTATTCCTGACTCTCTAGTCCCTTTTATGAGTTTATTCATCAGTCATTTTGCTAGATATGGTTCCTGTCTTCAAAGAACTTCATATTACAGTGTATAAATGTGTTGATAGAAATATATACTATGAGACATATAGGAGAATGTTTCATAGAAGAAAAAGATCAGAGAACTGTGAAGATCATTTTAGAGACATACTTTTTCATAACCTAGATATACAAGTGGACTTTTATTTTAGCGATGATTAAAAATATAAATATATCATATTATAAGCTGTCCTTTAGATTACACCCTCTCAGTTAGTTAGAATAGAAACTTTTAAATGAAAGCAATTCTGTAGGGCAAAACAAATACTCGAGGGAAAATTTGTGTCTATTAGATCAAATTGAGAACTCAGAAGTTGCATTGCTATCTTGCTGTGTTCTTATTGATGGGTGAGCTTCCGCTTAGGATTGTTTAGTGTAAAACCAGTGTTTTTCATCAACTGGACAGCTGAAATGAAAACATATTACCAAGATCTGGAGTCACCACTTAGTGTGCCAAATTTTTATCTTGTGAACAAGAACTTATTTCTTTTATTCTCATAAATTCTATTTAGTCTTTTCTAGAGGAATACCTACACTGCTTGATTATAGATTACTCTCTACATACGGTTACTACATACTACATGGTAATATACATACTATTTTTAATTGCAAAATCTAGTAATGATCACCTATAGTCCCACTTCTTTGTTTGTTAATAAATTGGAACCACATAGGCATAGTATTTTTAAATAACATTTTATTTTATGATAACAGAAATACTTGTACTTTATGTAGAACTTGGGAGAAAACACGAAAAAAATCACTTAAAATTTTACCACGTAGTGAAAATCACTATTGACCATGTGTAGTGTGCTTTCAGTCTTTTCTTGCATAGATATCTTAGGTTTTAAGAATGATTTTTCTTTCTCTCCCAGTCATGGCACAGATTGAAAAACAAAAGAGATTTGAACAGTATACTACCTTTAAGAACTGCTGTCCTGAAAAGATAACTGGCCTCTATTTCTTAATAAAATTTTCTGAGAAATAAAGAATAGTAACATCAGAATACATTTTGTTTACCTCCATCATGGTTTCTTTTTAATTGCTCTTCTTGTTTTCATGTTTTATTTTTAAATAGACATACTTATATAAAGATTGCATATTTTATTATGACATTTCCTAATAAAACACTTTGATTTAAAGATGTATTTTTGAAAATGTTTACATTGATGACCAGTAATATTATGGCATGAATTTTCAGGAGATCAGATGAAATATTTTTGGGGGAATTAACTGAACAAATAAAAGGTTTTGATATAACTTCAATTAATTGTACTACATGCTATGAAGAACTCTGGAATTTTGGAAAGAGTCTGATTCATCTATACGTAAATAAAACCCACAGTGAATAAGTTTTTGCCTGAGTCTGTTCTAGTAAAGTGAAGATTTAAGTCAGTTATTCAGTTACTTGAAGCAAAATAAAGTCTTTTATTTCAGTGAAATCACTGCAGAGGCATGAAATACTGAACAGATGCCTTAAATCTACACTTGACTCACCAGGATAGACAGAAGCTTTGGGTATATCTATACTAGCATTTCATTTGTACCTCATATGCTTTTGATATACTCAAGATTGCTTTCAATTTGTGTTGAAACAACTATATTTTGCACTGTATTAAAGAATCAGTTCAGTGTAGACATTTTGAAAATATTAAGTTCCCTGTGCTTTATGATAGTTTAGTGCAATGTGCACTTTTGCTTTACGTTTTGTTTTCTGGCTTTTACTTTCCCTATGACACGAAGCAACAGAAACTGAAAGATCAAAGTTAAGATTATATCCTATTGCTAGGGTTAGATTTTTTTGTGTGTGTACAATTATAGGATTTAATCTAAACTGGAATTTTTAGGCAGTAAGCCACTATGATATGTTTTAGAAAAGACATAACAGAATTATTATATAAATAAAAACTTAATGTTTATAAAGGTATCCTTTTTTAGTATTTCTTTTCCACATGAAGACGTAGTGGTGGCTGCTTAAAAAAAAAAAACTAGTTTTTTTTTTTTTGGTTTATGTAAATAATTGTAAATTGGCCAATGCTTGTACATTTAACTATAAAAAGTTACCTGAAAACTGTTTTAACTTTTTCAAAAGGACTATGTACAAATTCTTTTAGACCTGCTGTAGCACAGTTTGTACCTCTAATGTATTTGGTTATTTTGCAGACCAATCCAAATGCTAAGATTTTGCTTTTCTTTGACATGTAAAAGGTGCATATTTTCATTTTCTTTTTTAAGTTTAAATTTTTGTATGATGTCAAAATGAATAAAGTTTATATATGGAATTGGTGATGTATTTTTTTTGTGTGAAAACTATTTATTTAGAACTGAACCAAATCTATTCATGCTTGATTATTTAGATTCTACAGAGAATCTTGGAATCAACTCATTGTTGGTAAAGCCGATTTCTGTGGTATTACCAGGAATAAATCTTCCACATAGATGAACTTTCAAATTACTGAAAGCTATTAAGCTTTTTATATTTTTGAAATTTAAAAAAAAGTGTTATACATTGTATAAATTATCTTTATCTGAATGTATCAAGTATAATATTCTAGTGATGGTGCTAAGTAATCATAAGTAATAGGGATAGTAGCCTGTAATGATACTGTAATAATGTGTAGCTCTCAGGGATGGGTAAAATATGTAAGGTGTTGTACCTGTGCAATATGACATTTCCTCCTGAAACCCCAGAATTTGTCATTGTGTGGATTCCTTCACTGCCACTGTTTTTGTTGCTTTCAGTAACCTTACCTATCTTACTGCTACTTGTTTTCAGCTGTTTTGCTCAAACAAAATAGATCAGAAGTTAATAAACTTACACCCAATAGTAAATCAGTAGTCTTAAGCCATATATTATGCACTTTGTGACATCCAACTGTGTCACCTAAGTGGGCTATTAATATGAAAAAACTTACACTTCAATTATTTTCAATATGAATTACTTATTGTGCGAATAACACATTGTTTTATAGTTCTACTTTATCTGACCATTTCTATACATTTACATGTGTTGTTACTCAAGAAGGTAGTATTAGAGTGTTAAAAATGTGCAATCTATATTGCAATTCTAAATTTTGTATGGTTTGAACTAGTATCTGTGCAGATAAGTCACTAACTTTATTTTTTTTAAAGATTTATTTATGCATACAAGAACTGGGGTAGGCCAGAGGTGTGGGGGTTGGGAGGATTCACCAGAGACAGGGGAACAGAGCAGCAGACTGAAACACACTGCTGACATGAAAAACCCCACGTTGGGGGCCATATGTTGTCGTTTTTGGAGTCTGGGTTTGGAGTGCAGGCTCCATGGGGTCAGTGCTTCTGTTTCAACCACACTCTGCAAGTTTCCCGGCCAGTTTCTCTGTGAAAGACACTTGTATAGACAGAAGCAGGCAGGAAGAGCTGCCCCAGAAGGGACAGGTCTACTGAAAGAGGCCTGCATATATATTGCAGGGGTGGGGGGCCCTTGACAACTCACAGGCAAGCAGGAAGGCTGCTGCCCTGCAGAGGGAGACAGTTGGTGAAAAGAGGCACCTGCATAGTCACAGGTGGGCAGTGGGATTGCTGCCCCGAGCCAGTGCAGAGACTGCAGTGATATGCTCTTCTGTTTGGGAGGGCCTCATTCCTTGTGAGTTGTCAGTTGGTTGCTAATTTTGAATAACTATGTAGAATTCAAGGGACCAGAGATTCTACAAGGGGCTCAATCTCCATATCTTTACCTTTGGATGCGCCTGTGGATACTGGTTTGAATGTTAAGCTTTGTAATTTCTAGGCGTCCCCTGCTAAGGATACTAGTTTCTGCAACTGTGTGATCTGTGCCTAAAGATCTTGGTTTCCATTGCTGGGTGAATGGCTAGGCTAATCTCTTCTACCCCCAACTCCTTGTGTGAGCCAGGTTTCTGGTCTTGTGGTGAACACCCTTTTCAGTTTTTTTTTTTTCTATTCTTGTTCTCCATGAAGATCATGAGCAAGAGAACTAGACTCCTCTGAGCCGTTATTTCCTCATCTGTAAAACGGGTGGTTTTAGTTAAATCTACCACAGGATATAATAAATCTTCCTCACTTCTCCTAGACCCTAAAATGAGAATAGTAAGAATCAGCTGTCTATTTGGATGTGTCTACTTAACTTGTTCTCTTTGAGAACCCGTAGCAGAGTGCCTGAATTAGTAAGCCCTCTGCTCAGTAAAACATAATTATTTGGCTGGGACAAAGAGTCCATCTAGTAGCTGGGCTAGAAATAAAAAGTCTGCCAAACCCACTCTGGGGGAAAGAGGCGGGGTTGTAACCCTCCTGTGCAGCCAGAGCCAGCGCCCCTCAGGGTGGCGATCGCCAGTTGCTCGAAAGGCCCAACAAAACTGCCAGAAAAGGGCGGGGAGGGCTCGGGGAAGTTGGCAGACGGCGGGGAGAGGAGAAACAGCCGGGGCTGGAGAAGCTCGGTGGCGAAACTTTTTGACGCCTTCTATTTAAAGTCTCGGGGCTCACCCGCCCCCCGGGCCGGGAATCCGAGCCGCCCCGCCGGGGCCGAGCAGCGCCGGGCGCGTCCCGAGCGCAGTCAGAGGGAGAACACCAGGCGCGGCGCGGGCGGCTCCGGCTCCAGCTCTGGCCCGGGAGAAGCACGATGGCGAGCAGCGACAGCAACCACGCCGCGGAGAGCTTCCTCGGCTCCGACGAGGACGAGGAGGCGACCCGGGGGCTGGAAACCGAGGAGGAGTCGGAGGGGGAGGATGACGAGACGGCCGCGGAGTCGGAAGAGGAGCCGGACGCCAGGTAGTGAGACCCGCTCAGGCCACTCTGAGTACGCAACGCCGAGGGCCTGGAAGTGCGGCCTTGGGCAGGTGCAGGTGCTTCTGTGAGAAACCCCGCGCTCTTTCCTTTCTCTTCCTTTTTAGGCGCTAGAGTTCATTCCCTCAAGCTAAGCACTTTCTCTCTAGGGACGCTGCCTTAGTGAAGAACTGGAAGGTGTCAGCTGGAGTGACCGGTCCGCCTGCAGCCATAAGTGTACTGCCCCCCACAGCCCTCCTCTACTCCCTCCACCAGCTCATCTTGTGAAGGCTGCTTTTGTTTATTCCTGGGGATTTTCCTAGGGTCCTGCCTAACTACAGAAATGCGCTGAAACTTCCATTTGGCCCACACCAAAGGAACAATCTTGAGGAAACCTGAGCAGGAAGAGAAGTGGGTAGGGAGTGCGGGTGGAAGCAGAGAAGCTTCCACTGGAACCTTGAAACGCTGGAGGTCGCCTGGATGCCTAGTACCTAACACCGGGTTGGTTACTATATCTCAGTAAGATACTGTGTCTTACTACAAAGGCCTGTGATTTCTTTGGTGTAAAGAAACCAGGACTTCCAATAACGCCTGTTCTTAAATTTCTGCTCCTTTATTTTCCTGATCCCAAATAATGTTTTGATGTCGTGGATGCCACTATGTATAGGTAATACTATATAAAAACATGGCTCTCCCTTGGCTTAATCTTCCTCACTTCTCCTAGACCCTAAAATGAGAATAGTAAGAATCAGCTGTCTATTTGGATGTTTCTACTTAACTTGTTCTCTTTGAGTATGTTTTTGCTTTGGGGATTTTTTTTTTTTTGGTGTGTTTTTTTTGTTTTGTTTTGCTTTTAGTATTTTTTGTTTTGTCAATGATGTCCCTTCCCAAATCTATTAATATCAATAGGGAGGCTTTGTAGGTGACAGATGGATGTGCACCATTTTGGAATGCCCATCTTACCCAAAGTTAAAAATGCTGCTTGCCAAAGCCAACAGAGCTGACATTGAAATAACCCACATGGATTCGGGTGAAATGTCTGTCAGATAAGTCTGCAATCATGAGCATATTTACTAAGCAACTATCAAGTGTGAAGCAGGAACAGTCTCTGCCCTCTAAGACTTAATGAAAAAAGTTTGGAAGCTTTTTCCTAACTTTATATATAGGGAGTGAGGTTTTATGCCAAAAAATAAGAGGGGCTAAGAGGAGAGATCCTGGATGCTGTGGAAAGTCTGAGGAGAGTGTAGAGAACTGTGGCTGCCTGGAGTACCTGGACAGAACCATACAGAAAGCTGACGCAACCATACCTGAGGGAAATGGCTAGGGACCTGTTAATCCTGGGCAATATTGGGAAGGGGAGAAATCTGTCAATATTAGCTTTTAAGACCCTTTCCCTTAATGGTGTCCAGAAGCCTCATATCCTTGCTTAATCAAAATTATCCCCCAGAGAATCTGAAAATTCATTTACACTAAACTGTGAGTAACTGACAATGAATCAAAGCCCCACTTTGGGATTGCATTGCCCTTTGGCAGAGGTCAGAACTTCAGGTAAAGATTTGATGTATCTGCAGTCAAATTCAGGCTGCTCTGGTAACAGCTGGTAGGGACAGGGCACGGGGTAAGAATGAATAGAGTAGAGGGAAACTTGAGGGTATAGGTAGGTGGTAGGGGAGGCCTTAAAAACCATTTATTTTGGATTTGATGCCATGGGTAATAAGGATTCAGGGACCTTCTGGACAGAATTTATTGGACTATTGGAAAATTAGTTTGACAGGCAGATCAGATTGGTTTGGAGAGGGCTTGTCAGGGAGGCAGCAGCAGAGAGAAAGAGGATGTCTAAGGGTTACACCAGGGTGGATGCAATGGGAAAGGAAATAATGCCTAGGGAGAGATCAGCAGAGAGGAACTTTTGGGGGGACTTGGGAGTCCCCAAATTTCTTCTACGTCAAAGTATTTTTATTAACCAAACTAAAATATGGCTGAAAGTTCTTTGTTGTGAGACTAACGTTAAAACTTGGGATATTCTCTAGAAAATGAGAGGTAACAATGTCTTTTGCTTTATTCCTTCTGCTGGGCTCTTCTACCAAAGTTTTACAATTTAATGAAGGCCTGGTCACTCTGTGCCGGTTTCCCTGCTAAGTGTTTAAATGTTTTCTCATTTTAATCCCTTCAAGCAATACTATGAAGTTACAAGTAAGAAAACTGGCACTTTATGTCATTTACTGAGGATGAAGGGCAAATAAATGTAAAAACCAAGATGTGAGCCTGAAGCCAATGTTAGGCTTATGACATCTCCCTTTTAAGGAGAGACCCTTTCCTTGCGTTACCTATAGCCACTTTTCTGAATCACAGGAAAATACCCTTTAATTGTAAAAATACTTTTCTAGTGCAGGAAAACTTAATATTATACATGTCAATACTCATATTGGGTCAGAGAACTTTCTTATGTTTCATTCAATGAAATGAATATGATATGTGGCATGAAGAAGCTGAATGTGAATCCTATTAGCCCTTCCATCACGGGCACATTTCTTGTCATCCCTGAGCCCAATTTTCTTATCTGTAAAATGGTATTAATAATTCCTAATTCATAAAGTTGTTGTAGGATTAAACTAAATGAACATGAGTTAAAATTGTTCCAAGCTTTACTTTCTGCCCCCACTACTCATCAATAAGGGGAGAGTGATGATGTCAGTGTTATTAGTTGCCCTGGATCATGCAAAAAACTGGAGATTAAAAAAAAAAAGGCTACTAGGAATTCATTACTTCATTACTATCTTTAAGGTGATCACATTTTTGGTGGAGACAGAAAAACACAATTATGTCACTAACTATGATATAAGAGATTTAGGAAAGAAAAGGCTGTACAAAACACTTCACAATAGAGAGGAAGTTCTGGCATCCATTCTGTCTGGCAGGATTGGGGAGGATTTCATCAGGGACCCTCTGGGTAGGGTGTCCTATCATAATGAAATACCCAGAAGGCTTATAGTGGGTGAATATCAAAAAGAGATTTTTGTGTTGCTAAAACTTCACAGCCAAGTTGTCTGCGAAAGGCAGCTCTATAAAACTTACAGGATTGTAGAACCCAGAAAGGTGTGAGAAACATCTTTCACCCAATCCTTTTACAAATAGAGAAACTCAGTGTCAGGGGACATTTATTCAAAATCACATAACTTTAGCCCTAGAAGTACAACTAAGTGTCTGGACTCCAGTCTAATGTTTGTTAGTTCATAAATGTCTATTGACTCCCACTATGTTCCACACACTTTCCAGGCACAAGGTGTATAACAGAGAACAAGACAAAATTCCTGCCTTCCTGGAAGTGACTTTCCAGCTCAGGAAGATAAAATAGCGGGAAAAATAGGTTATATGTCAGGTGGCAGTACGTGATAAGGAAACAACGCAAGAGGAGTATGCTCTTTTGGATAAGGTATTGAAGAAAGCTTCCTAGATGAAGTGGCATTTGAGCAAAGACTGAACAAATGAGAATTCCAGAGGAAAGGTTAGGTACAAGGGCACTGAGACAGGACTGTTCGTGTTTTGTTTGAGGAACGCAGGTGGTCAGGTTGCTGGAGCAGAGTAAATATGGAGAGTGGTCAGACATGAATCTAAGAGATAACTGGGCTGCAAATCATGTAGGACTTTCAGGCCTTGCTAAGGTCGTCAGATTGTATTCTGAGTAAAATAGGAAGTCATGCTCTGTCTACCATACCTCTTGGGGTTTAAAACAAGTAAAATAAGGAAAACATGGGAATTGCAGTATTCCATTAAGTAGTAGGCACCTAAAAATTTATATATTAATTCAGTTAATATTTGTTAAACACCTAATGTTGCCATACACTGCTAAATTTTTCAAACTCAGTCTCCTATATGGAGGGAAATAGATAAATAGAACTTTTTACTTGTTTTTTCTAACTGTAGACCAATGAAATCCAAATTTTATAACCTTTTGCACAGATCACCCAGAAGATTTCCATTATTTTTGTTTTGGATCATTTTCTGTTGCTCAATTTTAATTACTCTATTTAAGCACAGAGGATTTTTGCGCAGCAGTACCCAAAACTTAAAAATTACTTCCAGTTGCAGTTTTGCAGTGTCTATATAAATAAGTCTGTCTAAACTGATAGAATTAAAATTGTTAGTGACATTTACATTTTACATCGTAGGAAACAAACCTTTTGGAAGGCAAAGGGAGTTTGTAGATGGTTTTCATTATCAGTACAGAGCACTCTGTTTCCATATATCTATTTATATGATATCTCCCACTGCTGTGCTTACCTAGGTGTTGTGACAAGTGTGTTATTTGAGCTTACCCTCTTTTGAGGTCAGTGGAAAGAGTTGGGGATTAAAGGAGTGACAGCTATGTATGCCAGCACCGAGGGAGGAGGCCCTTGGAGCAAGCAATTGAAGAGCTATTTAAATGTTGGTTGCATGGGTAGTACATGCCCTTGGTAAGACTTTGAAATATAGCTAGCAAGAGCTGGAAATTGTTTTTCTTCAAAACAGCAAACCTACTAAAATATTGGACATATTAGCTGATAGAATTTGCAAAAACAGAATCTATCTTATAGTCCCTGGAGAGTCTATTCTGAGCCTAGGCCTAAATGAATACCTTGACTCAATTCAAACAATATAACCAAGTTACCTTTTCTACCAAGAAAACAGAGGATCAGGTATAAGACACAGGTCATGCCTTGTACCTGAATCAATAATTTTTGGCCTAATCTATCATTATCCAATAAAAATATAATGTGAACCATATACATAATTTTAAATTTTCTAATAGTCACATTTTTAAAAAGTACACAGAGACAGGTGAAATTAATTTTTGTAATATTTTTCATTTAGCTCAATATCCAAAGTATTATTTCAATATGTAATCAATTTAAAACTATCAATGAAATATTATACTTTTTTATATACTCTTTGAAAGTTGATATGCTATGCAACTCACCCTGCCTATCTATATTTCAAGTGCTGGAGGCTACCATATCCAATAGATA